CATAACCATTTTGTTAAATACCACTCTCGTGAACTTTCCCTTTCTAGCAATATCTATGCTTTCTCCAGATCCTTTGGACCCTCTCCCATTTGTTTCTCTCCCAGCTGGAAATGGAATCAAAAGTACTACAGCACATGTAATTCTGACTTCAAAAAAATAGTTCATTGTGGTTTTTGCGTCTGTTTCTTTTCTCCCTCATTTCCCTGTCTTAAAGTATAAAAATCTGGGAAGATATCGATTACACTGAAAAATTTGAGGTTTTGTTCTTCCACTTCACTTTTTTTATATATATAAATATTTTTACAAAATAAGATGTATGATTCCTCATACATCTTTGAGGAATCAACTGCATTAAGCTGTAGATAACTTGGGCTTGATGTCTTACTGATTTTCACCTGTAACCAATTACATCTGTGTGCACCGACAGCAAAATGCTGAAAATTACTATGTTTCTGATTTAATGAGGTTTTACATCCTGTTTGTTCTGATGTAAAGAAATAGTACAGATAACAATGAAAAATGGGACATCTGATGTGGAAGCTAACATACAGTTCAGCTAGCAATGGAAGAGCGTGACACAGGCAAAACCGAGTCATGGAAAGTGGGAGTAAGCCATATCCCATATAGTATGAGAAGTTATACCACAAAAAACTGTAATGAAAAACTCACGGAACTGTTTCTGAATGGCTGAATTTTTTGAAACATCCCTTTATAGTGTTCTGCTCTTAAAATGTCACATTTTATTACTCTCTAACTGGCTTATTCATTTAGACTGTTGTGGAGTGCCCTCAGGGCTCACCTGTGGCCTGAATAACAACAGATGTTAAGGAAGAAATGTAAATATACACAGTGTGTGTCAATGGGACTTCCAAAGTTTTTTGTAAAGGTGTTTGCCTTCATCATGTGAAAAAAAAATATGACCATCAATCAGATTAAAAAGTAGCTAGGGATTTGAGTCCTTTGAAACAAAGGATTCAACTTCAAAAGAGAGAGCTTGGAAAGAAACATGAATACTTTTTAACAGCAGGGAGAGACCCAGGAATGGAAGCAGCAGCACTTGCTGCTCCCCAGCAGCACTGCAAATTATCAAATGATGTGCAGTGCCTGCTCCCAGGTGCTGCAGTACCAAGATGGGGTGCAGCACACGGAGATCCATACTCAGAGGTTATGAACCTGAACTTATGATTTCTCACTGGTGTGGGGATCAACAAAATAAAAGGTGCTGTTTGCTTCCAATAAGGGGATTTGGTTGTTTGAACCAAAAACCAACCGGGTCATGTGGTTTTATCATTTATTATATTAATAAATGCCACAGTGACAGTCATGAAATCCCTTTATCTCCATGCACAGTAATTGCGGCTGGGACATTCTTAATGTAACAAACAAACAAAAAAAAAAAACAAAAACAAAAGTTGAACTGAGATCTTCCAGGAAATATTTTTGAAGATTGATTCAACTTAAAAGAAGATGATGAGGCAAACATATATCTTGTTACTTAAAATAATGGTAGCACTCATTCTTCAGAAGAGAGTATACACATAATATTTACCTACAATGTTTTCACAGCATGAAAGAGTTTTCACTTGCTTAAAAACCCAGCATGTAAAGTCTTCACTAATGACATTGTTTGGTCAATTGGATTGTTTGCTGATATATATTTTAAAAATTATAGATTTTTCTGTGTGTTGGCTGCATGAATTCCTCTGAGTAGGATATATAAGATTACAAAATATATAAGAATTCTTAACATAGTGTCTCTTTTAACTCAATCTGCCATCTAAAGAAACCATCCAGGCAAAAAGACACTTTCCTCATTAATATCACCTAGCTTGCTTAGAAAGAAATCTTAGTGGCTCTGATATTCAATGGATATAATTTTTCAAATGCATTCATCTGGAAAAATCGTCATATAGATCTTAATTGAATACTATTATTCTATTCTGTTATTCAACATAATGCAAAGAAGAAGTAGAACAATTCTGTATTGAAAGTGTAAGAAGAATAAATATGAGTCAGTATCCAACATTGAAATTAATTTTGTCTTTGTAGCTTAGAAAAGTCAAATTAGCATCTTAACAGTAATGGTAATTGCATGTTTTCTACTGCACATGAGTTTATCACCTTTTCCATAATGCATAATGCAGTCAAACACAAAGTTTGCTGATTTCAATGTTTCTTAGAAGAAAAATGTAATCAAAAATTCCATTTTCAAGAAAACACTGGAGGTTCAATGGTAATTACTCATAAAGCTGTCAGAGCAGTTCTTCAAGGAAATTGCATAGCTGAAACTGCAATAGGGTAAAATTTCAGACACTGCAAATCTATTTGGTTAATTCTATCTTGTATTCAGAACAAAAGTCTTGACACACACCCAATTTTTATCTTTCCTTTCTGTGATAAAATCAGAGGGAGAGAAGCACCCAACGGAGTTTTAGGTTACATTACAAAAGGATAGCTATGTGTAGAGAGTACCTAAGTGTGTGCCAAGTGGAATCCACATTTAGCTAGTGTTGGTGGACATATCTCTCTCTGAACTGGATTGTTCACTGAGAAGGAGGTGTTTCGATTCTGTTTTGGGCGTGGTGGGGGATGGGTTGTTTTTTGGCTTGTTTGTTTGTTTGTTTCTAATGCCAGTGAAATGCAAAGATTTTCTCTACCATTTTAGTTTTTATCTGACGTCTGATATAGCAAAGATTTGAAAGAGTTATTAAGTCAATATCTTTAGTTTTTCTGTCTCCTTTTCATCATGTATACCTCAAATGTATGCTGTATGTTATACAAAGCTACAATCACTTCAGATATTGTCTATCTACCTTAACTTCAATTAGTTACATTGCATAGAGTTCCAGATATTTGTGAGTATATGAAGCGCAAAGTTAAAATAATGTGCGTTTAGAGGCAAGCTGGGAGACTAAGGAGATTTTATTTTACACTAAAATTTTGGCTAAGAATATTTTTTTAATTATTATTCTGATTAATCAGTACCAAACAGTAGAACAATTAGTTGTGTTCAAGGTCTCACTACTTCTTTTCATGGCCCACTGAACCTGGGTTCAGCATATAAAAGGGTATCTCAAAATTAGTATTATTTGATAATGTCTTGGATACTGAACAGTATCTAATAATTTGAGTGTTTTTCTGTCAGTTCTTCTGAATATAAAGTTTGAAAATTAAAATTTCCAAGCATCCAACTTCCAAGTTCATAAGGAGAAAAAAATACCCATAAGGTACAAGTATTCTTATTGCTATCACCATCACAACAATGCCCAAAGAATGAACTAATGCCCAAAGAGTGGCTGAAATTATAACAATTTAAACATGTTTTCTCAATGTATGACTTTTCTGTCATGCCATTGATTGTGAAGAAATACTACTGTAAACAGAGCTTTCAAAGCCTAAGTACATGAGGGAAAGCACTGACTAACATTGTTTAAGCTCAGGTTAATTAAATGTGATAAAGATTAATTAATCTCTCCCCTTCTCTCTCCTTGAAAATATTTTTTTGATGAGACCAAGACACCTATTAATCAATATCAAAGACTTATAAATGTAGAAATAGTGAGGGGGGGAAGATAGAGGAGGATTTCAAGAATATGTCTTAGAAAAAATGATCTGATCTAAATTTAAGACAAATTCCACTTTATTTTACAATGATCTGTTGATTTATCTGGCATTTTTAGGAGAAAGCCTGTTTCAAAACATGACTAATGGCCATAATAGCATCTATATCTCCAAGCTGTGGTCCAGTCTTGAAAAGGTCTCGTTTAAAAGAGTGTTGCAGCTATCAACAGTGACTCACATTAAAAGAAGTTGAAGGCACTAGCCATTTTTGTATTTCATTGGAAGCCACTTGCCTAGACTCAGATAATTGAGGCAGAGCTTCACGTTATCCTCTTTAACAGAAAAGCTCTTTGCATTTATATATTATAGAAGTCCTACTAAGAACATGGCTAATTGTCCCAACTGAACAATTGCATCAGCAGTACTGTTAAATACAGAAACAAAGTGCCTTGCAATAACATATGTGATGGCAAGAAGAGAGACAGAATTGGCTAGAACAGTTACCATAAAGAAAAAAATGCTACATCAAAACCAGAATTTAAAGAAAAAACACAGCAAAAACAATAACACAACAAACACACAAAACAACAAAAAAAAATGGTCTCCGTCATGCCTTAAATGGAGTCGTTCCCATAATACACTTGAAACCTGACCACCTATGGCATGGCCTATCATTACAATACAATGATATCTGGAAAAAGTAGGGGAACTCTATGCATTTGAATATTTAGAACTGTAAAAAGTGGTGGGTTTTTTCTATGCACAGCATTTATGACTAAATATTTTTTGGGTATACTTACACAATAATTTGAAAATCTTCCCTGTTCAAAAGCTAAAGTGAAAAAACCCACCAAATCCACACCCCCACCTTCCTCCCTACAAAAAAACCAAAACAAACCCCCAAAATCCAAACTCAAACTTTTGGAAAGAAAATGTGAAAATTAATGTCGATTTAATGTAATAAGTAGTGGTCAAGAATTTTTCACAGTTTACTGTAATTGCATAGTTTAAACAACCTGTTACTTCTCAAATTCTGATATTTGCTGCTACTTAGAGCTATTTGATTCAACTTATTATGCTTCAGGCTTAAGAAGGAAGTGAACACCTTAATCAACAACAATTCAAATATGTTTTTGGTGAAAAATACATAATTCTGTTTAGTATGTGGAACACATTCTTTGAGCCCGTGTTAGATAGTACTTTTATCTCTTTAATGTCAAATAAGCAACAATGAAAACTCAATACAAAAATAGAACACCCACACATGAAATTTCAGGAATGTATATTTCATTAAACACCTTCCAAGGTGAATATTTTTTAAACTGCTCTATTAAATTGACTAAAAAAATAACATAATTAGTATCTAGGATTATAATTTAAATTTTCCAAGCAGCTCAGTAATATCCTGGGAATTTTATTTAAATTTTGCAGGCAGCTCAGTAATATGTTCAGAATTTTACTTTTGTGTCCTCTGTATAGCTGAGCAGCAGGATGCCAGGCTCAGTGAGGATTGGTGCTTCCTGTGGACCACACACTGGGACCTCATGGTGAGTACCACCATCCAATCCAGGAGCAGGCAGATGTGGGCACTGGGGTAACCCCAGCCCCAGGATTCAGGCACCTCCCCGGAAATGTGGATGTGCTGAGGCCACGCCAGGATGTGGATCAGCAGGGGTTGAGGGCCTTGGGGAACTGACAGGGGATCCTTGACCTCAGGCCATGTGAGGGGAGTCCTGGCTGGGCAGGAACAGGTAGACCAGGGAATACCTTCCGGACCCTGACAGGGAATTCACAAAGCCATCAGGTAGCAAATGATTTTATGAATTTAGTACCTTTTTAGAACTTTGATTATAGAACTTTGTACCTTTCTTTAAGATCAAGAACATGCACATTGAGAGAGAATGAATATTCTACACAGACATTTGTCCAAAGCCACCAAGAAACTCTGTACAAAACTGGGACACGGACGTACTGCCAGATGTTGTGAGGCCTTTTTGTTTGCCAAAAGGAGAACATTTCCATGTTCAGTATGCTCACATTTTTTTGCATAGTCAGCCAATGAACTAGAGAAAAACATCAGGAACCTAATTTACCTGCAAAGGGTCTAATTAAGAAGAAATGTATAGGATTAAATTATATGTATATATTTCAAGTCTTTGGTGGTTCTGAAAACAAGAATGGGCAGTTCTGCCCTAGAGCCGACCCCCCACATAGCAGAATGGGTTAAAATGTCAGCTGAGTAGCCGACACACATAAACTCTCAAGGCATATGCAAAAATAATGTTTAAATGTATTAGTTTTGTATACATCCCTGCAATAAGTACATTGCACTCCCCTGGTCTTTGCTCTCTTAATGACATGAACAGTTAGATCAAAAAGTTCAGGCCATTAATCCAGTCCAGAGCCTATGAACTTTCCCTAACATCACATTACTATTTTTGTTAACTCTTATTGAAAGAATTAAACAGATTTGCTGGATACTTTTCAAGCATAAAAATTTCGTTAGTGAAGACTATTAAATAAACTTTTCTTAACTGTTCATACCATGTTAATGTACGTCCTTTCCGGAAAACCTATTTACTTTTTAATCTTTTCATGATGGATTCCAATTCTGGTTGCTCAAGAAATGTTTTCTGTCACATGTTCAATCACTGAACTTCCTGGTAAAAATGTCTCAGGATTAAATCTTTTGTCATGTACACTGCAACATAAGAATACTTCTTTTATTAGAGATTGTAGGAATTCAGGCTTTGTTACTTGTTTTTGCACAGAGTAAGACATGTATTCACAAAAAAAAGATAATATTCTGACATTGAATAAAAAAACCCCTTATTTTTAAAAGATATATAAGGCAGAAATAGCTCTTTAAGTCCATTTAAAATAATTTTAACTTATATGATTATATTTCCATGCATCTCTTTCAATTTTTAGTGGTTCTGCACTACAAAACATTAGTATTTGACTGTGTGGAGGATGACACTTAAAATTAACTTTTTATTCTCTTAATTGGCTTCATTTTTCTTTTGGTAAGATGAATTCTCATCACTTAATTACTTCAAGTGCACCAGCTGCAAAACACTTGACTACCAGAGGGCCCAAAAAAGTAATCCAGATAGATATGCTATTTGGGAAAGAAAAAAACACATCCTCTTTACATATCATTTTGGTGATTTTTTTCAATAGAAAATGACTCAAGAAGGAAAACTATTTTTCTTAAAACACTGCATTATAGTTAAGTTCCCAAATTCAGTATACACAAATATTGCTTCAATCTAATGAAATTTAGCTTTTACATTTTAAATAACCTATTGGTCAGAAACTGGAGAAAAGCTGCATTAATCCATTCCTCATCTATTCCCAAATGCTTGGTTTCAAACTGGAAAACAAATCAAACGACCTACATTCAGCTTTGTTTTCTGCAGCCGCACAATTACAGTCATATAAATTGTTTCCTAAAGTTCTCTTTTTTGGTTACTGTTCACTAATTTTGAACGAGTCCCTACAATTTTTCTCTTTACAATTGCTCTGACAAGTTCTCTAATAAAAACTATGCCTGTCTGAATTTGGTATGGTACCCAAAAATGGGACAAAAACTGTAGCCACGATCTTGGAAAACAAGTGGTCTGTGTTCTACAAAAAAAGATACAGCATTTTCAATCAATAAAAATGGTTACATTAATTTCTAGGTATGGAAGGTTATTAAAAATTCATATTTAACTTAAAAGGGAAGTTTTTTTTCTTTTTATACTTTTCATGCCAGATGGGAAATTTTAACTATCTGCCAGGAACGACAATTACCTGACTGTTTAACTAACCTCACTTAAATTACAAGACAGAGGATTATTCTGAAAGCTCTGCTTCCAGAATGGGCACTTGGACTACAGACCAGCTGCAGAGACAGTATACTCTCCTTATATCCTCATATCCTGGTATCTTGATCATTCCTACTGACGTGTGCATTTGGGTGCACCTACTCTGGGCATGAAGTTAATTTTCTTTGAAATTTAATCTGGATATGAAGACCAGGAGAGGAATAAATCTGCCTACTCCTAACCTGAACTCACATGATGAAATCATTTCTAAGATTAACAGGTCCAGTATGTTCTAACATATTATTCTGTAATGTAGGTGTTTCCCTTCTTCATTGTCTCTGGTTTCAAGAAAATTAATGAAGTTAATTATGCTTTTTCTTTCTACTAGTATTAAATGAAAATTTCAAGTACCTAATTTCACAGCTTTCAGGCAAATTATACTAAATGAAGGGGCAGGGTTGAGGAAAGCATCTTTGGGAGTAAGATGATTTGTATAGTCTATTGGACAGTCAAGAGTTATATTTTGGTTCCAAACTGATATGGGAGATGTGTAAAAAAGAATACCACACTTCCAAAAATATTGCATGCATGCCATAAGGTGGCAGAGGACTGCTTGCAGTATCTTATTTCAAATGAACTATGCAAATATCCACGACATGATTATCTGATCTGTCTTTAGGACTAAGCGTCAAGCTGAGTAATGATGTTATGCCTACTTTTATGGGCACAATCGGCATAATAAATTACATCCTGACAGTCAAAATTTGTATACTTATGGTAAATCAACTTGAAGTAATTATTAGATGGTATTTTACATCTCTTACTCTTTACTCAATGCTGAGTAAAGTGATTCCTGTAAGGTATTAAACTGTTAGTATTCTATTTGTTTATAAAGCATTTTGTGATCCACTGGCATAAACCACACTATCAGAGTGTAGAGCAGCTTCTTTCCTGCTAAGTTTAATACCATTTAAATGACTGAGAGTTTCCATCCTAAAATAAACGTAGAAAATTAAAGAGTTCTGAAGAAGTTTGTGAAGATGGATTCAAATGAGTGGCAAAAACTGAGGAATAGGACTTCAGAAACTATTCACACTTCATCTGTAAGGTTATGTATCATACATATCATCTGTAAAAGTGCCTGTAAAGCAGAAATTGAGTCACTGGATAATGTTAAAAAAAGCAAACCCACCCTTTATCTCATGACACTTTTTCTGATAAATGATTCACAGAATAAATTGTTATAGAGGGAAGTCACCTGTGAGAGTGAAGAAAACCAAGGCAATGGACTTAATCATATAGGGCTATCTTCTACTCACTGAGCAGATTTTCTTTTAAAGACCTTGCCATTAATGCTCTCCAAGATTACTTCCATATCCTTAAAAGCAATCAATCCAGGAAGAATGGTGTGGCCCCAGACTAGGAGGGGTTGTGCAGTCATACCCTTTTGGCATATGCCCTTTTACCAAACTGATGCATTCATATTTCACTGAGGAAACTTCTATGTGGTGATACTTAAATCCTAGTGCTATTTTCTGTGCTTTTTATTTCAAAATAATAATAAAGTGATGTTGCACTGGCATTGACCAGAATTATGTTTCTTATGAAATGAAAATAAGGTCATGAATTAAATGTTGTGCAATTCCTGGCAGTTTGTGAGAAGTTTTTAGGACAAAAGTCTTTCAGAGACAGTGGTAGATGACTATATAGGGTACAAGAAAATAAACACAATGCTACTGTGTAATGGAAGATTTCTCTTGAGTGAAGTATCGTCAGAAAAAAACCAAGAAACAAAACCTCCCAACCAACTAACAAAAAAAAACTCATAAGGTTTTCTTTTGAAAGAAAAAATTACCTGAAAAGAGAACCTGAGAGTAAATGAAAATTTATCCAAAGTAGGCTATCAGAAGGCTGACAGCCAAGAAGCTAAATTATGTGGCAGAGAAGACATAATTTTAGGTATACCTAAACTGGAAAAACAAAGACTCTCCCCCAAACATGCTCTGTAAAGTAGCAGAGAAATAACATTTTAGAACTGGCAGCCCTCTGTTCATAGTTAAGGAAGAAGTCTATACTGCAGGCAGTACTGCACGCTCCTCTGCTCAGTTAGAGACACTAATGAGACAGCTGTGGGAGTCATAGACACACATTATTTAATCTCTCTGGTAATTAACTGTTGCAAGAACATTCAGTTCTATCCTAAAGTCAGTGACAGAATTACCATTGACTACCATTGTAACAGGACCAGGAGTACAGATCACAGATTCTCACAGAATCACAACATCATTTAGGTTAGAAAAGACCTCTGAGATCACTGAGTCCAACCTTTGACTGATCACCACCTTGCCAACTAGACCAGGTTCAAATGCCATGTTCAGTCATTTCTTGGACACTTCCAGCGATGGTAATTCCACCACCTTCCTGGGCAGTCAATTTTAATGTTTAGCAACCCTTTCCATGAAGAAATTCCTCCAGATATCCAGCCTGATCTTTCCCTGGCACTGCTTGGGGCCATTTCCTCTTTATCCATCACTAGCTGCCTAGGAGAAGAGACCAACTCCCACCTTGCTATAACCTCCAGAGTGATAAGGTCTCCACTGAGCCTCCCTTTCTCTGGGGAAAAACAACCCCAGCTCACTCAGCAACTTCTTGTAGGACAGCCACTCCTCATAGGACAAGCTCCCCAACAGGAAGATATGCATCTGATCCTGCTACAACTGGGAGGTAATGAGGTAGTTTCCACAAAATCTGGGTATGATTTTTAAGGCTGCATTATGAAATAGTGTGGAATCTGAAGCCTCTTGCTTTACTGAGTAATCTTTTGGGGAAAAAGAATGCTGTACAAAGATCTAAAATTGTAATTATTTTTATTAGAACTGAAAATCAGAAAAAATTAGACGAATAACTATGTCTTTTTTTTTCCTTTTATATCTTTTTTTTTCCTTCACTGATATTCTGAAACCCCACACCTTATCCTGTTGACAGCTACCCTAGTCTTAGCATTATTTTGTAGAAAGTTAGCTGTAAGCAGTGTTTTCACCACAAATGGTCCTCAGGTTTCAATTTTACTTTTCTCTTTCATGATGTTTTGATAAACTCATCTCTTTTACTTTTTCACTGCAGAGGAAAACACAACCAGTGTTTTTTCTGGAACATGCAGTTACAGCACTGAACAGTACTGAATTCCAATGCAGCTCTTTAAGGATTCTCTCTCTCTCTCTCTCTCTCTCTCTCCTATGTCTCATGAAGAGAAAAATGTTTGGCATGATAACAGAGATTCATTCTGGTTTTGAGTGATCAAACCAACTGTGGGTTTCATCAACACGATACACTTCAATAACAGTCTTTCCCAGGATATCGTGAAATGCTTTGAATAACATCAGGTAATACACAGGTATATGTTTTTTATGGTTGCATTCATACCCATCATCAAGCTAGAGCAATTGGTTACAGTTGGTTACAGCCTCAACTGATATCACTGATAATTTTATCTGAGGAATCTCAATCAGAAGCTTTCACAAGGTTTGCAAAAATATATAATTCTGTTTTAAAATACAAGACTCAGTTCATCAATGTCATTCTGTAATGAATATATGGGGCCCCCTGGTGGTCTAGTGGTTAGGATGCAGCGCTCTCATTGCCACGGCCTGGGTTCGATTCCCGGTCAGGGAACTCCTCCGGGCAGATGGAGCTCGTCAGCCCTGTAAGGCCATCCATCTAAGAGAAGGTCACTCTAAACAAACCTACGTCCTGAGGACCTCGCTGCCACTGTCCAAGCTTGCTTGGCCCTGGCAGATGAACCTCAGGATTAAAGGGTGGGCTCAGTTCAGCGCACGCTGTGTCTCACCTAAAAAATCCACTGCACAGGCTCGAAGGGTAATGACCTTTCCTAAATCTTCGTTCACGAAGACTGGCCATGAATGAAATGAAATGAATATGGGGACCAACATAAAGGGAAAAATGTTAGGGTAAAGAAAGAGGAGGAAAAGATAAAATTAATCTATAGCTGAGTCAGTGGCTTTAAGGACTGTGAAAGAGAGCATCAAATCTACCAAAGAGGTGAAAGAGAAATGACAAGAGATTCTCCAAAAGAAAGTGAAATTAAAGTAATTCTTAGATGAGAAAGGTGGAACCTTAAGGGTACTCTTTTAGTTGTTAAAAAAACAGAATGGTTAGAAAAGTCAACATCCTTCAACATACAGATTTCTTTCAGAAGAATGCAGCCTGAGACACAGGGTGCTTGGAGAGAATCAATGACAAAGTAAAAGGCTCCACAAAAGGTCTGCTAAAAGTATTTTTTTTAATTTTTTCTTTAACCATCCATGCCATCTCTAAATATTTGAGATTGCACTGAAATGTGAATTTTCACTCTCTCCATCAGTTGTTGAAAGGTAAGTGCTTTACTAGAATTTTGTCCTGTTTTGAAAAATAGACAATCTACCTCCTGACTGTGCATACTAATTTGGGTTAATTCTCTTCAGTTCCTCACTCCCAAATACTTGTCCTTGATTACACAAAGAAAAAGCAAGAAATGAGGAATATGAATTCTCAAGATTTTTGCCAAATGTTATAATATATTATATTTTTATTAATAATTTTTAATTATTTATTATTATTATTATTATTAATTTTCTGGTCCTTTTCTAAAGAATCTTATGTTAGCAGTAGAAACAGCACTGTACAACATAATAATTTATTTTATATCCTTCCTTATTTCTTACAGAAATTAAGTAATTGCACTATGCAATTTCATTTTGTCTTATACTTTTCAGACTTGGAATATAACACAGTATAGTGTGGGAGGTACTTTAACCAACTGGAATATCTACATCCAAATCATTGCACTGACAATTTCTACTATTCGGCACATAAGTTAATTTAGTAATGGATTAAAGAAAAATGTGTTCAGTAATTTTCTTCCACTGGAAAATATTGACATTTAATATTCTAGTCTAAGACTTGCACATTCACATTGTTTTTATGCAACAGAAGAGCTTGAACTGGAATGTATTCAAAAATAACATGTTTTTCTTTCTGGGTAATAACCTGAAATCAAGAAAATAATTAATACCACAGTAAGTTAATATCAAGAATGGGCATGTGCCGGAGGATAAATTAGACTTTAAGTGGGAGACCATTTCTGAGACATATGTCATGAAACATAGATGCAGAAAGACCGTTCACCAAAATTGAAGAGATTGAAACAGAAAGATAAGACAGTCTAAATTATTGTTTAACCACAAATTATTTATAAAAATTATTATATAAAAAAGCTGAGTGGCTAATCAGGGCTGCTGATGTATCACTCTTAACTGCACAAAGTTAAACTTAGGTTTAATTTTTTCCCTGTGCTTCCTCATATCATTAGCACCTTACACAAATAATAATTTCTTTCAAATATCTTTACAGTCTTACAAAATTATAAAATAATTATATTCCTTGTAAGCGTAGATATCCTTCAGGAAGATTTGTAACCATGAGATAAGGACTTGTTTCACTTAGGAAGTCTTTCCTTCCTAAGAAGTACCTTTCTCAAAGATAGTTGGAATTTTTTTTTCCCTTTTCATTCTGCATTTCAGAGAAAGCTGCAGGCTCTCTCTCTTTCTCTCTCTCTCTCTCTCTCTCTCTCTCATGAGGAGAGATAAACAGATATTACAGGTTGGCAGAGTGGAGAGGGCCTGGAGGGGAGGCCAGAGAAGATAAAAGGCCTTGAAGAGAACAGGAGGGGTGTCTTTCTCTGGCCTGGTGCTGTCTTTTACAGCAGTGTTAGGTTTTTCCCTTCTAAGTCTACTGTTCTCGACTTTTTTGGAATAAATTTTCCCCCGTCTGACATTTCTTGGGTACTTGCATATTATCTTATTTCACATTCCTTTTTCCATTAGCTCCTACTTTTTCCATAGACTCTCACCAGTGGCCTTTTCAGATCACATTTTGTTTACTATTTACACATCTTAACATGGCTGACATTCACTCATGACAGTAAAAGGGTTAGTACTCCAGTCAACAAAGAATAAAATATTTAGGCAGTCTTCAGACACTATACAATTTTCTAAGCCTAATAAACTGTTGTGTCTCTAACCTGTTTTGGGTTTTTTTTCCCACCACACTCTTTGAAGGAAAAAAATATCAAAAACCAAAGAGTCAGTTCATACCTATTTTAGGAGATAAGATGAACAAATTAAATAGTTTAATGTTAAAGGATTGAACTGGAATTCAGAATGTATTGAGTGTAATCCCAACTTTGGGAAGCCATCCATAAACATGATAAGGCACTTCTCTGTGCTCCAATTCCAGTCATCTTCATTCATTAATTTTAGGCCATTCAGGAAAGACTGCCTTGTAAAATAGACAAAATGGAACTTTCCAGAGTACTATTGTAATAACCAGTACAAATTCTTCTGATTCTGAGGTAAGAAACCAACAGCTGAGTGACAGGGAATGTTTGAGTACCAAGAACAGGACGGAGGGAAGAGAAACAGAAACTGAGCATCACCTAACATTACAGTACTCTTGTCCCAATTAGTAGAAATCAATACCTCATTCATTCCTAACTCCTTTGAACTGAAACAGCTTCAACCTGAAGAGCTTTATAATGATTCATGGGAAAAGATATAAATCTTGCAGGTAGAGCAGAAAAGTCATGTATGTATCCGATTTTGAGACTGTAACCCCCAAAAAATTTTATCTGCAAATAGAGGAATAGGCCTTTTATGAGACGCTAAAAAAATTATTGTTAGTTTATTTAAAGTTTCAAATGCATGACTAATTTATACCATTTTGTATGGTTAGTCCAGTTACAATGATACTAACTATAAATATAAATTATATAAATAACTCAGAACAAATCTCATTAATAATACACTTAAAATTTGTTTTACAGAAAATTTCTAGTTCTCCCTTTTGTCGGCTGTTAATCCTTATGCTGTTCCCCTGTTCATCTCCTGGAGGACAGTGATGCTGTTTATTTTGCTTTGCCAGGAGGAACATGCTATTGGTTCTGATGGTTTCTTCTTCTTCATTGGTGGGTCCACTTCAGACTATTCTTCTATTCTTTATGTATTTGTGCATTTAAAAATAAATAAAATATTTCTATATTTTAGATAGTTGCTCTTTTTTCTTTTAGCTGTAACTCAGTTACAGTTGTAACTGTAAACTCAGTTCTGACCAGCTCCCGAATCTGCACCACCCTAGCTCAAAACTGTTGAATTTTTCATAGCTTCAGTCTCAAGAGTACTTTTTTTGTCATCTCATTTGTATACTTCTCCACACTGCAGAGGTCTCTGCTTCACTGTTACTGTCAAGGCCTCATCTTTCATTCTATGCAGAACAATTACTCATTACTTTATTAAAAAATATGATTATAGCATAAAAAATAAGAAAAAGTAATTAAATGAGTAAAAAATGCTCTTGCAGATAAAGAAACTAAAAAAAAAAAAAAGAAAAAATTCAGTGCAAAAGTCAGTGGCCTGTTGCTAGTAATGGCAATGCTGTATATATTGCCGTATAAACCTAAGTAACACAGTCAGGAGTTATAAAAAAAAAGAAAGTCTCTTGTTTCTGCTTTTAAAAGAAATGAGGATCATCACTCTATTTTTCAGCAGATCTGGTGCTGATGTCATACTTTGACATGATCCTAGAAAACCCTGTAGACTGAAATCTGTCAGGGAAATTATGTAGAAGAGCAAATAGTTCCTAAATCCTGACTGATCTTAATGTAAGGTATATTCTGAGCCATCCAGCTCTGTCAAGATGCAGTGTCAGTTGTCAAAAATCTTCACAGTAGAATGGAAGGCTATGGACTGTAGATTCCTCTCAAGGGCAGAAAAACTCAGACAAGACAGCAGATTTTTTGAATTTCAATTGTGTATGCAGTTCACAATATTACACAATCTCTACTGTAGATCTGTATGAACTAAGATTAGAGAAGTATAACGAAGCAATGAAGAAGAGAAATAGAAATAAGCAACACCTAAAATAAAAAATTAAAAACTATAGATAGTACATTATTTAAATTATTTTGACCAGATCCAAATATGATACTTTGGTGCATAAAAGAGCATGGCTTCCCATCCATTTCTCTCCACCATTCACACTGGGATATAATGTAATCAATATAAATTAGTATAAAATATATTAGAAAGGACATTTTTCCTGATGTTAACTTCAGACATTGTTTAAAGTCACTTAGTTTTCACAGGACTAGTACTATTTGTAAGAATGCACTTCCAGAAGAAGAATTCTCAGCTTACGAGTCTTGTCCTATTCTTACTGTAGCCCTGCATATGACATCACCATTTTGAGAGCAAATCTGTTGACACTTAAAACTAAGAAAGTTGTCACTGAGCTTAGAAATTGATGAGTTCAGGAAACATAACAACCTAAAAGGTGTAGAAAAACATTGGAAAAGATTTATCCAAAAATGTATGCATAAAGATTTTTGCATTCTGAAATAAGACAAATAAATATTAGGAATATTTGAGAAAGAAATATGAAATATAATGCTTGATACTTAAATAGCATGTCGTTAGTATTTCAAGAAGGAAGCCAAAGGAGTGGCAAGCATATTTCCATACCAATATTAAATGTCTAAGGAAACAGGAAACAAGAAAAAGAAACTGGAATATCTTGCCCTAAATGAATGCATTTATGAAAAAATGCACCAGAAATTTGTTGACAGTCACTGGGATAGTAAATACAAAAATGCATGTGCCAGCTTAGTATGACAAGCAAAAGAGAACTTCAATTTAAACATATTAACACATTCAGGACAGAATCTGAATGGGTCAAAATACCAAGCTTAAATGAGAATATAGATTTGTGTGACTATTAGAGAGTGTCTGACCAGGATTAAGATACTGATTACCAAATCCTCAGAGAAGAAAGACAGTGAGAACAGCCAATAAGCTTTTTCTGGATACTATCAGCATCATCCTATCAATTAGGAAAATGTCACTCTGGGAAATGAAACAGATGATATTTTAAGAGACTATAACTATGTTTCCACTAGGGTAAACTGATGATGCACTTAGATTCAACAGCTCTACAGAGGAATGAAGGACAAAAAGAAGCTTGTAAACAAAGTCAAAAGTAGGAAAAAATTTCAATAAGCAGTTGGATAAGAGACAGGAAAAAGGAGCTAAGAAGAAATGTTCAGTTCTTCATCCAGCATTAAAAGTAACCAGAAGTGTTCCATATGGATTTATGTAATTCAGCATAGTTATGATCATTTAAATAGTGTATGCACCTTAGGTTGTGTGAGGACAAAAACAAATTATGACTTCTACAGTATCTATTGCTCTGAGTCACCGCTAAATGATATAGCAGGTAAAATTCAAGGTACATGGGACAAAAAACTGAACATTTCTTTTGGCATATGTAAAACCTGCCTTGCCTGACTACAACCACTCAGCAGCGAGGTTCTCAGCTGAAAGGTAAATCCATGAAAGTATAAGCTCAACCTGCAGTATAAATCAAAAATAGAAAATCAGTTGTTGGGAAACATTAAGAAAGAAACCACAGAGAAAGGAGAAAATATAATTATGCCACTGTTTAAATCCATGGCTTACCCTCAGATAGTGGCATTGTTCTTCAGGGATTGGTGCTAGCTCTGATACTGTTTAATGGCACTACTGATCTCCATAGTGAAGAAATTCAGGCACTCAGGTTTACAAATGGTACCAAACTGGGAAGACTGGTTAATATTCTGTAGTCTGCTATTCAGAGGGGTCTCATCAGCCTAGAGAAATGGGATGACATCTGAAGTTCAAAAATGGCAAATGCGGAGCCTCACAACCAGCACAGATTAACCCCAGGCACCAGCAAAAGCTGAGGCCTGACTGGCTGGGGAGCAGCAGAGAAGGACATAAGGGCTCTTGAATAAGATGAGCATGAAGCAGCTGTGCATCCTTGCACTTAGTGAAATGAAGGGGAGAGAAAGATACAATGATGTTCCTTTGAAGGCGGTAACTCTTTCTATTTAATGTGACACAGTTGTTAAAGGAATATTATAGTTTTAATTTTGCATTTCATTTCTTCACAAGTTAATTGGAAAGTTAAAATTTTAGAACACACCAATCTGCAGCTGAAAAAAAAAAAAAAATCACTGAAAGTGGATCAGGGGAAAGAGTCAGAATACCTTACTCGTTTAGGACTCTGAGCTACATTGAAGAAATGGCAAACAAGCATTTTTTAATGTAGGAAAATGAGAACTGATTTTTCTCTAAGCTTATTAAAAAGCGTGTATAAATTAATATCCCTATCACTACCACAAATGCCTAAAGAATTTGTCTGACTTGCAATGATTTTTACAAAATATAAATTAGAATATCTATTCCATTTAATATGAAGAAGCATATAATGAGTGCTTAGCAACATCATCAGGATACTTGAACTTGGAAGATCTACTGTGGTTTTTTCAGTATGTGTGTCACTGTTGAAATCTTTTTTAAGCATAAGTAGTACTTATTGGAAGAATATATCTGTGTTTTTTTGACAGATCAAATCCTTATCTCAGATCTTCTCGCCATAGAAATAGCTCTTCAACAGATCAGAAAAACATGGAAGAGGAAATTTCCTTACAGTATGAGTTGATAATTAAATCACATTGCCAGTTAGTTTTAAAATGTCAGAAAAATTAAAAAAGAAAGTGTTTTGAAGGTTATAGAAAATGTTTGGACAAATAAAGGGGTGTAATCTGTGTTAAAACATGTACATGTACAGCAGATAATCATCTACATGCATTAAGTTTATAATAATCTCTGCATAACTTAGTAACTGTGAAATCACTTAAATTCCAGATGGGCTACAGTGTAATCCTGGCAGTGTCAGTGAAGGAAGATAAAAAAAAACCCAAAACTGTGGTGGTGCATCCTGCATCCTTCCCCCCCACCATTTTCCATTGTATGCTTCACCTATGTAGTAAATAATACAGTGAACCTTGCTATTGAACTCTGTTAAATCACACTTTCACAAATTTATATTAAAATCTGCTTTTTGCCAATACCTTTGACAGTGATTATTTAATAGGCCAAATTGCTCTTTCGCAACAATCCATTATATACATTAAAAGCATAAGGGACCCTGGATATATACATAAAAGCAGTAGAAAGAAACATTGTGATGATTACATCATTGTCATATCACAAACCCAAGCTATTTAGAAAGTGTGAGCAAAAGTTAAGCTCCACATGTGTTTCAGTATCTGAAACATGAAAAAATAGATTGGTGATATGGCCTAAAGTAAGGTGAAAATTACTTTTCTAGATGGAGACTATTTCTGTACAGAATACTAAGTAGAAGTATATATTTGAGGCTTATTGAATAATAAGAAGTCAGATTATTTGTAAAACTTTAAAAAGAAGAGATAAAAAGTAATATGAACTTTAAGGAAAAACTAGTCAGAACCATGTATCTTTAGGGGTAAAGTTATCATAAGACCGTAAATAATATATTTGCATTCAAGATCACTGAACAAGAAATAGAAGTTACAGAGGACATTTCACCAAGATAATTATTTTTATACTAGATACTGTGTAGTTATGTGTAGTTAAAAGGATAATGCATGTAAGAAATCACTTGATCAAAACTAAATTGAGGTCAAGAAAGACTGTCTGACTGTTACAGAAATAATTGCTGACATTTTCATTACTTGAGAACAAGAGGTCACGAGCAGAAACTGAAATTAACTTAGGGAGAAAAATATCAAATAGAATCTATTTAACTGGAAATTGCACTTTATTTGGCTTAGTAAGAGAAAGTGCCTCTTGTCAGACTTTTACTGACAAAGTGACTAAACTGTGATCTGAAAAAAATTGTAGAGATGCTCAGGTCCATAAATATGTCAGAGTCAAAGAACCTTAAGGATAGTGTTGGACTTGCTTTATCACTTTGTCAAAAAAAAATGTGAGCCTCTGAGCCAACTAATTTAAAGTCATCATACAGCATTGGA